ATACCACACCCATAGATAAAATTATCTAGAATTTTTATTATAATTTCCAACCATCTCAACTAAAACATTTAAACCAACAACTTGGTAATTCAACTTCAGATGGTACATAGATAAAAATGGATCTTGGAATCACATTAAAATAAAAACTTTTGTTCCTATAGAGAACATTTTATTTATCAACAGATACCACAGATAGCACAGTTTTCCTGACAACAGGCACAATAATCAACATCTGGTGTTTGAATAAAATCTCTAATTCTGAAATGCTCTTTAAAAAGGGTAGTAACATAACATATGACTTAGTTGTTTAAAAAAATCAATGCAGGCTATAAAACTATGGATAGCCATGTTAAACCAGTACTTGTCCAAGAGTTTTAAAGAATGTAAATAAATAAAATACATAAACACTTTCCTGTTTTCACCATGACAAATCTGTTGAAATAATTAATATACAAATATTGTCCATGCTTTCCTTTGGTTCATATAGGGAAGAGTTATTTGCAACATCTTATCACAATACTGACATTTTCTTACTCTCTTTTGTTCATCTCTTTTGGTAGATCTGGAAATTTAGCACCTTGTTCTCCACTATCAATAGGTGGCAACTCAGCAATATTCCATCCATAGCTGTACACTTGAAAACTTGCCCTTTTTATGAAGTGGAACATAAACAGGATCCTATTTTGCTTACTAGCATGCTTTTACCTCAAGAACAAACAGAAGATAATTTGGTCTCCACAGTTAAACACAGACATGGCTGTGGACCTGGTTCCAAGAAATTTCAAGAAGACTGCACTGATTTCTAAAAGCATATGTCAAAGCATTTGGGGTTCTTTGAAATGCACTGCATAGTCTGCTTTAATATGTCAACAAAGTATTTTTTATAGTTTGCTGATTGGTCAGGATGATACGCTGTGCTCTAATTTTATAATTTTTGGTTCCTACACTGGCTCTAGAAGTTCTAGAGAACCTTTTAATCTAGGAATATTATTTACAATAGTTCTATTATCTATTTTTCCTCTTTCCTACAGGTTTTTAAATCTGCTGCTGCTTATTTTATCTGATTTATTTAAATTCTTATTGCTGTTTTGGTCTATCATTGGACATTTAATAAATAAATGTAAAAAGAATATTATTAAAATCATTAATAGATATCATTAAGTGTACTTTAAACTAATCTAACCCAATTGAAGGGCCAAATGTGCATTGGAATAAAATTACTTTAGCTCTGAGGAGACGGTTTTCTATATAACAGCTTGATAACATTGTTTGGCATGGATTTGTCAAGAAGAAGATTTGCTAGACTTTCCTTATTTAATTTTTTTATTAGACTATTTATTTAACTGATTATGGAAAATGGGATAGATATATCTTTATTTTTTACATAATGTAAGTAGAATGAAGAATCAAGTGGGATGGGGTGTCAAAAGGTTCAATTCTGGGCCTTTCTACTCATTAATATTTTTACTAAAGACTTAGGTAAGATAGTGGAAGGTATTGATAGAAGATAATATTTATAATTCAGGGTTGAACTGTAGGGTCCTTTGAGCTTGGTGATTTTTGTGCAGACATTTCATTACCAAACTAGGTAACATCATCAGTGCTAGTAGGGACTGGGATTTACTCTTATTTTTATATAAGCTCAGAGAGCATCAAAGAAGGAGTGCTTATCAGATCTAAAGATCACACAAACTTGTGTGGGATATATTGTAATGGTGTATTCCTTAACGTTAGACACATATTAAAATTTTAAATGTTCTTATTTTACATGGTAGAACATGAACACCAATTTGTTAGACCCAAGGCTTAATTAATTGTTTGGGTTCTTCCTCAGTTATTTCAATAAAAAGTATACAATATTACTTGGGTTCAGTTTTCACTTTCATCATCAGTTGTCTCAATTCAACCTTTTTAACCACTAGAAAACTCTGGCTGGATAATTTCCTCAAACATCTATGTCAAAGATGTACACTGCACTTTAATTGAAGGAAAGAATATTCATTTGTTGACATTCCTCCGTTATTTTTATCTTGCTGCTTATTTTGTATTTCATGACCTCTGACCAATGTCTATATTTGCAGAGGTCAGGAGATAAGAGAATTGGCTGAAGAGAAATGGAAAAAAAAAAAAGCAGAAAGTTCTGCATACTTTCTCCTGCCTCCCTTTTTTCTGGTTGCCCAAGTCCCAAAAGTTTTTGCTACTTTAGGGACTCTCTGAGTCCCTAAACTTTCTTTATATTCCCCCCCCCCCTTTTTTTTTTGCTGATTTACATTCCCAAAATTCATACCTTTCTCCCAATTCATTGCTTACTTGCCTAATGGACCCCAATGCCTGATGTGATCCTTCAAATTGTCCCACATCAAGAGTGGTGTCCATATTGTTGGGGGGGACAAGGGAATACGATAGCTTTCTTCAATGAAAGAAAGTCTAATCTGTTATCCCAGAATGCACTAACTTGTTACAAACAAGCAGATTCCATTGAGGTTTCTTATGAATTTGGATCTGGATTCAAAAGTTCTTTTCTAGTGTATATGTTTGACATTCATTATGCTTTAATGCTGCTTGAGAACTGCTTTTTTTGGAGAATATCCTTGTAAGTTAAGATTGGACAACAGATAAATTATGTAAATAAATACTTTATGTGATCATTTTAATGTATTTCATATTTTTTTTCAGTTTCATGACATAATACTTTAGAATTCAGCACTAAATAGGACCTATAAAGGCTGCATCTAGGTCTGGGGAGGGGGCATTGCATGTGATCACGAGGATTCAGAATTGCATCATGTATTTAACATGAATCAGAAATGGGGAGACTAGAATTCTACTACTATTCAACCACAAAATTCTATGAATGACTTTGGATTAACTTCTCTTTTTTCAGAAACTTCTCTAAAAAATTAATAAAAACAAAAAAACCTTATATATTAAACTTATCAAAGGTACCCAACTCTGTAGAGCCCTGGAAATTACACAATGCATATCTCTGTTAAACAAACTCAGCCAATTGCTTATTCAATAAATCACTGTTAAACAGTGAATGAAATGTGTCTAATGGGATTCAAATAATTTAACAACTGGTTTTCTGCCCTAATGACCAGCTGGATAGGTGTGGCTCGGTGGTCATGTGACCATGTGTTCATGGCCAACTCAACGTCACTGATGTCGATGGGTGCTTTACCTTAGCTGTTACAATGTAATAAGAGTTAATCGGAGAGGCAGTTTCTGTAAGAAGGGCAATAAAGATTAGGCTAGAAACAACACCACAATGTTTTCTTCCTGCCTTCCTTATAGGATTAGCCCTGTAAAGTGGAAAAAAACAAAAGGAGATTTCTTCCAACAAACGGTTGTCTGAACTGCTTAGAAAGTTAACTGGTTAATTTTCTGGCTGAGTTTGAATCCCACTACTGGTCTTAAGCCTGTTTGCTAGAGTTATAAAATTATAACTACTTATTTGTATCAGTGCATCTCTAAAAATGTCCCTAAATTTATTTTGGAAAAGTAACTTTTGACAAAATGGGGAAGCTTCTCAAGTAATCTCTAACGTGGAACAGTATTCTATAGAAAAGGAAAGAAAATAGCATAGCCTTCTGCAATCTAGTGCCTTTCAGATAGATTAGAATATATCTCTTAGAAATAATAGCTTGCCATCATATTGTAGACTAAAGAATGGAATATCAGTAATAATTATATTTTTTAAAAGTTGAAAATGCCATTTTCTAAGAGAATAGCGCCCCCCCCCCTTTTGTGCACCAGGGAATGGTTCTGTGGAAAGGTTTTTCCGCAAACCAGAGGGGGCATGATTTCGTGTGTGTCTGCATCCTGTGGATGCAGCTTCAGCTGTTTGCATGGCTCAGTTTCTGGCATGCCACAGCCTGGTGCCGGTCACAAACCGGGAGGGGGGGGTTAGGGACCTCTGATTTAATAGACGCAAAACCAGAGTTTTGACTGACTGTTAGTTCACCATATCCCTGCAAACTAATTTCTGCTTTAAGAGAGCGAGAGAAAAATTCAGGGATACCCAGGGAGACTCAATTTATTGGATTTATTTAGGCTGCAATCCAAGGAGAATATAAGCAGGAAATGGGTTTCCCAAACCTTCTCTTCCTTTTACTTACCGTAAATTTGATTGCATTAAGTCCTTGGGTTTCAATCCTCTTCCTGTGTTACATATTTGAAAAACTAGACAATTTAACTCATTCGGATGAAAAATAGCAAGATAAATTTTCAAATAGGTGCTTGGACTCTATTTCAGTTGATTAAGTCACATTATTTGAATGGCTATCAAAAAGGACAAATACATAGCCAGCATTATTTGTTGAGCACAGTAACATTTTACAAAGTGATTGTTTTTTTCATTAAGAATATAAGGCAGGAGGTAGTAAAACCCAAATGCGCATAGATCCACATGAGTTAAGAGCCCAGCTATGTGGGTACCTTTGTAGTTCTATATTATATTATAATGGTTTTTTTAAAAAAAATGTTACTTCATATCTGTTTTTATAAAGTATGTTTTCTACCTTAACATGTGCTTATTAATTTACCTATGCATTACTTTTACTTTTATTTTGTGTGCTATTGGTTGAACATCCATGAGTTTTATAAAAATAAATATTCTTCTTAAAAGCCAATTTTGATTTTTAAAATCATAAACCTACCTAGTACCTAGTACTATGAATGAATGTTAGAGGAAAAAAATCAAATCAGAATAGAGTGTTTGATGCAGAATGGACAAATGTTTTTTTCCCCTCAACTGAAAGACAAAATTATATAACTTGTGGGTCATGAGACAATAAGCGTCTTACTGTACGTGAAAAGTTGGTGAATTCTTTTTTCTTCAACATTGCACGTCCGATGAAAGTTGTGGGCAGAAGAACCGGGTGCAAACGCCCAGGGATATTCCCGCTGCGGCAGCCGAGGAAAGAGGCGCGTGGGGGCGTTTCGCGCACCAACCGTGCCGCCTCCTCCTTCCTCTTCGGGCGAAGCGGAGGTCCAGCCGCAGCGGACCCGGAGAAGTGTGGGGGGATGGCGGGTGAGAAGGTAGGTCGGCCCAGGGCGGCTGATACAGGCGGCCCAAGGGAAGTAGGTCGAGCTCCCCTTGCGAAAGGAGCGGGCACGCCGTTAGAAGCCGTTTGGGAAACCGAGGCGGGAGGCAGTGGAAGGGGTCCGCTGAACTGAGGGCGGCCCAGAGGAAGCTGGCTTGACTCCCTCGCTCTCCCTCCCTAGTTAGGTTTAATGTAGCCCCGACCGTTTCCATGTGTAAAGGTTATTTGGAAAGGGCTGCCAGAGACCACGGCCGCCGTCCTCTTGCCGCCTCCTACTCAAGGAGCCAACCCTCCCCCCAAAAAAAACACTTGCGGGTATTTTCAAAGTCCTGCTTTCTAGTCTTTCTAGCCAAGTCGTTTGGCAGTAGTTGAGGAGAGCAGTCTTGGAGGAAGTTCACGTTTCTTCGACTCCACTCAACGCCAAAACCGGTGATCCAGTATATCTTATTTTACCTAAAACATTTACTTCCTTTCTCGCGTGTTAATGTGTCGCGTGTGTTAAACCTCAGTGAAATGTATTGTAAAAAAAGTAAGCCAGTCTTCCTCAGTCACGGGGGCGGCGAGCAGTTTATCCCGTAAGGTTCTTTAAAACTCCTTTATAAAAATTATTTTATACTTCATGTGGGCCGGAAATAATAATGATCTGGTTTAACTTATACCCCAATCCGACATAGGTTTTCATGGAACTAAGGTCAGTGGAGTGAATATCCTGTTACCTATTTATATCAAGTCCCTACTTAATCGACTTGAATTTACTTGCAGATAAACATATGTTTTTGACTGCCTGGAAGGATATATACCATTGAAGTAAAAAAATTATCTGAGTGATAAATTATATTTCAGCAATGTTAAATGTAACTTTCTTTGGATGTAAGTCCTATTAAATGGAATACCATAGACTTCTGACTAAATGTTAAGATTCATGTGACTATATTGTATTATATGGAAGCTTAATAAATGTCCATTAAATTAATTATGAATATATTGATATATAAATAGGACATTGCAGAATTAAAGTACTTTTTCTTAGATAATATAAATCTTTGTGATTTTGTTCTTTCATTTTGCTTGTATGTTTGTGTGTGTATGTTTGTGTGTGTATGCATGTGTGCACGTGTGCACGTGTGCGCACACACACACACACACACAACAACAACAATCATTTAGTGGAGAGCAATTTTCAGTTTCAAAATATGTAAAGAGCCTATATAGTTCAATTATATTAAATTTCATTTGTTGTCTAGAAGGATACCATGTTCAACATCGCTCTGCTTAAATACACTAAACACAATCCAAAATTGTTATAATATTATGAACAATTTTTATGAAGTAAAGCCACAGCTAAATTCCAAGTAATTGGGATAGGAAATGACCCACATTCAGATTTGGCTTAAAAATAAATTGCTTCATTAAAAGTAGGTTACCCATCATTAAAAATCATTATACTTCCATGAAGTATGCATTAAAATTGCATTTTGCTTACTAAACCCAGAACAGAGTATTTCATTTGACCCAC